GGAAGTAAGGAAGGCGACGCGCAAGCAGTGCTCTATTCAAAACGAGAACCCAACGCAGGAGGGTTGGGAACAAAATGAATCGAAATGCACACGCGCGCGCCGTCGCGCGCGCATGCCGAAATCCTTCTAAAACCTTCGGTGTCGGAAGGATTTCGCAATCGAGTTTCCAAATTACCTTGGCGACGTACCCAACCCCTGCGCAATGCGGGGCATGAGTAGCTTGGGAGACGTTATACGGAAGTGACGACGTGACATGGGCTCATATATTTCTGCGAGCGGCATTCGTGAGGCTCGCAGCTCTTCAAGGATTGCGAGGTCCCGCTCAGATCTGCGTGGTGCCTCACTCCGCTGGACCCGCCACCAGCCTTTGAAAGAAGCGACAGGTTCGCAGATCGCAGCCCCCCAGGCACGGCGAGGTCTTGCTCAGATCCGCGCGGTGCCTCACTCCGCTGGGCCCACCAGCAGCCCTCGAAAGTGGCGACAGTTTCGCAGATCGCAGCCCCCCAGGCACGGCGAGGTCTCAGATCCGCGCGGTGCAGATCCGACGCGCAGATCGCAGCCCCCCAGGCACGGCCAGATCCGCGCGGTGCCTCACTCCGCTGGACCCACCAGCAGCCCTCGAAAGTGGCGACAGTTTCGCAGATCGCAGCCTCCCAGGCACGGCGAGGTCTTGCTCAGATCCGCCGCGGTGCCTCACTCCGCTGGACCCACCAGCAGCCCTCGAAAGTGGCGACAGTTTCGCAGATCGCAGCCCCCCAGGCACGGCGAGGTCTTGCTCAGATCCGCGCGGTGCCTCACTCCGCTGGACCCACCAGCAGCCCTCGAAAGTGGCGACAGTTTCGCAGATCGCAGCCCCCCAGGCACGGCGAGGTCTTGCTCAGATCCGCGCGGTGCCTCACTCCGCTGGACCCACCAGCAGCCCTCGAAAGTGGCGACAGTTTCGCAGATCGCAGCCCCCCAGGCACGGCGAGGTCTTGCTCAGATCCGCGCGGTGCCTCACTCCGCTGGACCCACCAGCAGCCCTCGAAAGTGGCGACAGGTTCGCAGATCGCAGCCCCCCAGGGACGGCGAGGTCTTGCTCAGATCTGCGCGGTGCCTCACTCCGCTGGACCCACCAGCAGCCCTCGAAGAGTGGCGACAGTCGAAAGTGGCGACAGTTTCGCAGATCGCAGCCCCCCCCCCCCAGGCACGGGCGAGGTCTTGCTCAGATGCGGTGCCTCACTCCGCTGGACCCACCAGCAGCCCTCGAAAGCGGCGACAGTTTCGCAGGTCGCAGCCCCCTCCAGGGATGGCGAGGTCTAATTTGGGTCAGCGCGTGGCCCTCACTGTGCTGGGCCCCCCAGCAGGCCGCGAAAATGGCGACCGTTTCACAGATCGCAGCCCCCCAGGGATGGCGAGGTCTAATTTGGATCTGCGTGTGGCGTCACTGTGCTGGGCCCCCCAGCAGGCCGCGAAAGTGGCGACAGTTTCACAGATCGCAGCCCACCAGGGATGGCGAGGTCTAATTTAAGTCCGCGCGTGGCGTCACTGTGCTGGGCCCCCCAGCAGGCCTCGAAAGTGGCGACAGTTTCACAGATCGCAGCCCCCCCAGGGATGGCGAGGTCTAATTTGAATCCGCGCGTGGCCCTCACTGTGCTGGGCCCCCCAGCAGGCCTCGAAAGTGGCGACAGTTTCACAGATCGCAGCCCCCCAAAGGATGGCGAGGTCTAATTTGGGTCTGCGCGTCGCCTCACTGTGCTGGGCCCCCCAGCAAGCCTCGAAAGTGGCGACAGTTTCACAGATCGCAGCCCCCCAGGGATGGCGAGGTCTAATTTGGGTCTGCCCGTCGCCCTCACTGTGCAGGGCCCCCCAGCAGGCCTCGAAAGTGGCGACAGTTTCACAGATCGCAGCCCCCCAGGGATGGCGAGGTCTAATTTGGTCCGCCCGTCGCCCTCACTGTGCAGGGCCCCCCAGCAGGCCTCGAAAGTGGCGACAGTTTCACAGATCGCAGCCCCCCAGGGATGGCGAGGTCTAATTTGAATCCGCGCGTGCCCTCACTGTGCTGGGCCCCCCAGCAGGCCTCGAAAGTGGCGACAGTTTCACAGATCGCAGCCCCCCAGGGATGGCGAGGTCTAATTTGAATCTGCGCGTCGCCCTGTGCTGGGCCCCCCAGCAGGCCTCGAAAGTGGCGACAGTTTCACAGATCGCAGCCCCCCAGGGATGGCGAGGTCTAATTTCTCGCCCTCACTGTGCTGGGCCCCCCAGCAGGCCTCGAAAGTGGCGACAGTTTCACAGATCGCAGCCCCCCAGGGATGGCGAGGTCTAATTTGAATCCGCGCGTGGCCCTCACTGTGCTGGGCCCCCCAGCAGGCCTCGAAAATGGCGACAGTTTCACAGATCGCAGCCCCCCAGGGATGGCGAGGTCTAATTTGAATCTGCGCGTCGCCCTCACTGTGCTGGGCCCCCCAGCAGACCTCGAAAATGGCGACAGATTCACAGATCGCAGCCCCCCAGGGATGGCGAGGTCTAATTTGAATCTGCGCGTCGCCCTTACTGTGCTGAGCCCCCCAGCAGGCCTCGGAAATGGCGACAGTTTCACAGATCGCAGCCCCCCCAGGGATGGCGAGGTCTAATTTGAAGCTGCGCGTCGCCCTCACTTTGCTGTGCCCCCCAGCAGGCCTCGAAAATTGCGACAGTTTCACAGATCGCAGCCCCCCGCAGGCAAGACAGGAAGATGCAGGGAGGGAGGGAGGAGGAGGAAGGAAGGAGTGGAGACCACACTGCTCTATTCAAAACGAATACCCAACCAAGGAGGCTTGGGAAAAACATACAAAAACACATGGTTTCGCAACACTGATTTGCCAAAAAAGTTTCCGCGCGAGCTCTTGCGAAATCTTGAGAAAACCATAGGTGTTTCAAGATTTTCACAAAATCCTACCAAACGGGCTTCGCGCGCGCGCATGTCGAAATCTGTCGAACGCCCTTGCGCGTGTGCCGTCGCGAGAATCCTCTGCAAGAAATTGGACGAAGTGCAGACGCGCGCGTGGTCGCGCGCGTACGCCGAAATCCTTCAAAACCCATCGGTTTCGGAAGGATCTCGAAATCGCGCGCCCGAAAAACATACAAATGCCCAAGGTTTCGCAACACGGATTTTCAACAAAAGCGTGCGCGCGCGTTCTTGCGTCGTCGTCGGCGTCGTCGTCGTCGCCGTCCTCCCTCCTCCCGCGTCGTTGTCGTCGTCGTCGTCGCCTACGTCGTCCTCTTTGGCGTCGTGATCGTTTCCGTCGTCGTTGTCGCCGTGGTCGTCCTTCCTCCTCCTCCCTCGTCGTCGTCATCGTCCGTCGTCGGCGTCTCGTCGTCGTCCCTCCTATTTCGTAGCCGTCGTCGTCGTCGTCGTCGTTGTCGTCGTCGTAGTCTTCCCTCCTCCCTCGTCGTTGCCGTCGTCGGCGTCGCCGTCCTTCCTCCTTCTTCGTCGTTCGCGTCGTCGCCGTCCTCCCTCCTCCCTCGTCGTTGTCGTCGTTGTCGCCGTTGTCGCCGTCGTCGTCCTCCCGTTCTTCGTTGGTGACGTCGTCGTCGTCTTCATCGTCGGCGTCGTCGTCGTCGTCTTCGTCGTCGTTGTCGGCGTCGTCGTCGTCGCCGCCGTCGTCGTCGTCGTCGTCGTCGTCGCGTCGTTGACGTCGTCGTCGTCGGCGTCGTCGTCGTCGTCGTCGGCGTCGTCATCGTCGTCGTCGTTGTCATCGTCGTCGTCGTCGGCGTCGGCGTCGGCGTCGTCGTCGTCGGTGTCGTCGTCGTCGTCGTCGTCGTCGTCGTCGGCGTCGTCGAAGTCGTTGGAGACGTCGTCGGTGTCGTCGTAGTCGTTGTCGGCGGCGTCGTCGTCGTCGTTGTCGCTGTCGTCGTCGGCGTCGCTGTCGTTGGCAAGTGCCATTTGGTACCCACCGTCACGGTCTTAAGAGATTTTGCGAACCAAGTTGCGGGTGGGTGGGTGGGATGTTTGCGCGAGCAGTGGAGTGGTCAAGCGCGGTGCAGGGTAGTCAATTGCATAATTTAGACTGCACCACATAGTGTGCACGACATAGGTTGAACCACATGGATCGCACGACATATATTGCATAACCTATTTTGCACAACACAAACAACACCACAAAGATGGCACCGCCTATGTTGCACCAGATAGATTGGTTCACGTAGATTGCACAACATCGACCTCTGGCAACACACTCTTTAGTGCCCGCGCTGGCTAACATTTACGCATATGTATTCACATGAATGCCATCATATATCCATTGACCCCCTACCAGTACATGCGTCGATACATCTATCGATTGGGGCCACTATGTTTCTCTCAATATCACGATCAATCGCTTGACCATCGGAGCAAGCATCGGGACAAACTTCGGGACAAATCATCGGGACAACCACAGGACAACCGCGGGACAACCGCGGGGCAACTACGGGACAACCGACGGGGCAATCGACGGGACAATCGCAGGCCACCGGCCGCCAACCCCAGGGGAGGAGATCTTTGTGTTTCGACTTGGCCTTAGCAACGGCAGGGTCACTCTTCTCGCCCCACCTGAACGTACGGCACGAACACAAAACCAAACATGATTTCCCGGTGGGGGGGGGGGTCCCATGTCATGTCGATATCACCCCCCAATGTACGTTGTGTACATGTAGACGTAGACCAAAGAGCCACACAAACCGAAGAGGGCCGTGAAGGGCAGGCAAACGAGATTTGATGATTGCAAGCACCGTGTTTTGAAACATACTCGCGTGTGACAGGAGAACGTGCCGCTTGTCACGCGCACCATCAAGTACATTGTCATATATTAGTGTTTGTGTGCACCATGTGCGGAGAGTATGAGCAAATGTTTGCACGCGCTTGCGAGAGCACGCGCTTGAAATGCCTCCCTCATGGCGGATAGGTGGTTTGCTTGATTGGGCGCACGAACATTTTAGATTATCACATTTCAAAGAGACATTGAAAGCTCGCAGAGATGAGAAATAGCACGAGCAGAAAGGTGGGCAACCTCGTGGAGGACGACGAGTGGCTCGGTCTAGGACTGTGGCAAGTGGGACATAGTATTGGGACGTCATGCATGCATGCCCACTCGTGGTGAAGCAGAAGCGTATGTTCGCCTTTTCCTGCCCTCACATGTTCAATAAAACAAAGAAGTCCACCACGCCGAGATCCATATGATGTGCGCGTGCATGACGATGCTGCCCTGGCCTGCACGAGGCCTGGTAGTGTTCATCACAGCAGCACATGAGAAAGAGAAAAGCCAGTCGAATGAAAATGTAGATTCCGAACTCCGAAGTAGCTGCGTTGACTTGTAAGTTCTTGTTTTCGATTGAAGTCAAAGTCGGCGAGTTATCCGTCCACCCAGTTTCAGTGAAGACTTGCTTCAAGTCTGGCACGAACGTGAATACTTAGTAAGTTGAAAGTCGATAGACTAGATCGGCCAAGGAATATGTAGGCCCAGCTGGTGTCGCGTCAACCACGATGTGTTGTGTGATCGGGCCAGCTTTTCGGACGTGTCGCACCAACGCAGAAAGGTGGCAGTCTTGGCATATACTCTATCATACTGAGGAGACGCGCTGCGTAGATCGACCCAAGCGCTTTCAATACTGAAGAGGTGAGTCTGACGACACTATGTCGTCAAACACCGGGCTATTGGACACAACTCTTCAACAAGTAAATCCCCCAGAGCCCCGTGTTTGCAGAAGGGGTGGATATGATAATGTCATTCCAGCCTTGAACGGAGTCACCGCGCCTCTCTGCCAGTCGGGATCACGCTCGAAAATCTCATGTGATTTGCTAGGGTTCCGAAACTTTCTAGCATCCACGCCTATGCTCGTGACATTTGGCCGTCGGACGTGCACATCTATCGTCATCCCACTCCTCAGTTCTCCTGTCTCTCGCAGATGTGGAGGAATGGAGCTTGCGATTGTTCTCCGCAGCGCCGTCCGCGAGAGCGTCAAGAGCAGCGTCAAGGATTTCACTGGCAAGGACATCGAGTCGCCAAGCGTCGCGTTGATGCCGCACCGCTTTTTAAAACACAACCAATTGTGATGTTCGAGGATGTCGTCTTGCGGAGTGTGTCATGGAGTCGTCGAATGTATTTGAGCCCGCTTTGTTTTGTGTGGAAAAGCCGAACAGTTCATTCCCACGGCCTGGCTTCCGCTCCATGGGGTAGGTGGGTGTGATCCCGGCAAGGTCTCAGTCTCTTGGCGGGAGTGTGTTTGGCGCCAAGGCGAGAGCGCAGGTTGCAACGACCTGTTATGTTACGAGCGGAAAACACATACGAATAAAAATACGTGAAATGTTCTGCGTGTGAATGCCACACGCGGGATGAGCGGGTGAAAACTAAGGCGAGTTCTGAGACGAGAGGACAGTAGCGTTCGCAATGAGTTTGTGATGAGAGGGGAGAGGGAAGAGAAGGAGATGTGAAAAGAGAGGAGCAAGCGGGAGGAAGAGCAGCAGCAACAGGAGCAGGAGACAAGAGAAGGAGGATGCAGAGGCGAGGAATAGAGGGGCGGTAAGCTCCACGGCCGCCGGCGGACGTCCCAGGAGGCCACCGGAGGACCAGACAAGCGCCCGAGACCCCAAAAATCTTCAGTCTTGCATCGCCGTGGGCGAAAGGAGTAGGGGAGGGGCAGCAGAAGCCGCGGCCGCGGCAGGAGAAGGAGGAGCGAGGAGTGGGGAGCGAGCTTACCTTCCACAGTCTCGTTGCATGCGCGCACAGCCTGCTGCGCACCTACTTTCCGCCACTGCTGAGGAGAACGCACTCGGAGGAGGCGGGGGTGGTGGTGTATTTCTAGGAGTGGAGGAGACACATCGTAACTGCCCCAATGGGCATTCTGTCACCCGCCACTTGGATCCGACCGAGGGCCCGCACCGCTGTTAACGAAGTCCCTCGGTGAGGGCAGCACTACCCTCGGAGAGGGCCCTGAGAGGGAGGGGTGTGGGTTGAGGTCAAGCTATCCAGCTCGAGCGAGTCAAGCATGGCATGCCCATTCCCACCCGCCCTCCCACAACAGAAGAAACAGTGATGGCACAACTGGGGGCTGCGCGGGCATTTCAGTGCGAGTGAAGGATACCCCAAGACACCGCATTGACGTCCGCGCGGGATGTGCGCCGCGTCCCATTCCCGCCACGCATTTCGCATCGTCGACGACAAGACTGGCCATGTTGAAAAGAACAACGGACACGTTCCGCCCTCCCACAACATAAGAAACAATGCTGGCGCAAGTGGGTGCTGGCGCGTAGTAGTAGTAGTAGTAGTAGTAGTAGTAGTAGTAGTAGTAGTAGTAGTAGTAGTAGTAGTAGTAGTAGTAGTAGTAGTAGTAGTAGTAGTAGTAGTAGTAGTAGTAGTAGCGTAGTAGTAGTAGTAGTAGTAGTAGTAGTAGTAGTAGTAGTAGTAGTAGTAGTAGTAGTAGTAGTAGTAGCAGTAGTAGTAGTAGTAGTAGTAGTAGTAGTAGTAGTAGTAGTAGTAGTAGTAGTAGTAGTAGTAGTAGTAGTAGTAGTAGTAGTAGTAGTAGTAGTAGTAGTAGTAGTAGTAGTAGTAGTAGTAGTAGTAGCCCTGAGTCGCCGAAATATCGTTCCAAGACGCCCAAGATGGCCTCCAGACGGCCGTAGCGCCAAGAAACCGCGGGGGGCCTCAGGAGGCCCTCCAAGAGCCTGAACAAGCAAAAACCTCCCAGGCATTCGTCACCCCAAGGCGTCCTGGAACGCCCCGGCGCCCAATGAATTGGCGAGCTAAAAACGTGCGCCGAGCCAAAGCGGGAGCGCAACTTTGAGAAAATGTCACTCGGCGCCCAAGCGAGAAGGTCATTTCATTCACTTCGAGCGGGAGGTGGGGGGGGTGTTCCGCGCCCAATTCTTGCCATGCACTTTTGCGGGGTGGACGACAAGAACAGCTATGTGGGCAGGGAGAATCAGCATGGCATTGCTTCTGACAAGTAAGGTGGCCCCTCCCGCCTTGGGGTTGCCCCAGAAGTCCGCGCGCGATGCGCGCCGCGCCCCATTCCTGCCACGCATTTCGCATCGTCGACGACAAGACACGCCATATGAAAGGAAAAACGGCAACTCTGTATTGTTTTTTACAATCAGGATGGGAGGGCCCGCAGCCCGCATGGACGTCCGCGCGCGATGTGCGCCGCGTCCCGTTCCTGCCACATATTTCGCACCGTCGGCGACAAGGCAGGCCATGCTGAGAGGAAAAAGCGGAGACGTTGTATTGATTTTTTATAGTCAGGATGGGCGGGCCCGGATTGACGGCCGCGCGCGATGTGCGCCGCGTCCCATATGTGCGCCGCGTCCCATTGTTGCCACATATTTCGCACCGTCAGCGACAAAGCAGGCTGTGCTGAGAGGAAAAAAAGAAGACTTTATATTGATTTGTTACAGTCAGGATGGGCGGGCCCAGATTGACTGCCGCGCGCGATGTGCGCCGCGTCCCATTGCTGCCACATATTTCGCATCGTCGACGACAAGAAAGACGATGTTGAGAAGAAGAACAGCCACTTTGTATTGATCTTTTACAGTCCGGATGGGAGGTCCCGGATTGGGCCGCTATCGGCCGGAATACGACGTAGGTGGGGGTATGTAATAATAAGGAACAAGGATACGGGATCGTTTGGCGGGGTGGGACATAGTCGTGTTGACATATCCTAGGGCAGCTGGGCGCAAGATCCCGGCCCTGATTGGCAGAGGCAGCGCAGCAATCCACTTCAGATAAAGCCGCCGCAACGCATGCCGAGCTGCCAGAGCCAGCACGGCTTCAAGGTCGCACACAATGGACATTATTTCATTGGCATTAGCAGATTCCCTACCTAGGCTCTGCCCAGAAGGGTTCTTACTCTCTGGGCTTAAAAGGGCCGGGCAGTGGAAAGCGCCCCGGGCGGTTCCCCCAGTATCCGCCCCGCGGTTCCCCCAGTTACGTCCCCTTAGCTTAGCGTTGCTTATCTCATGTTAGCTTAGCGTATTTCATCTTAGCTTAGCTTAGCTTCATCTTAGTTCAGGTTTATCTTAGTTTAGCTTACCTTCATCTTAGCTTCGCTGAGCTTTAGCATAGCAGAGCACAGCATAGCATAGCGAGCGTAGCATCGCATAGCGCAGCATAGCATATCATAGCATAGCCCAGCATAGCATAGGATAGCGCAGTTTAGCATAGCATAGCATCGCATAACATAGCGCAGCACAGCACAGCATAGCACAGCGCAGCATAGCATAGCAGAGCATAGCAGAGCATAGCATAGCATAGCATCAAAGCAAAGGCAAAGCAACAGCAGCGACAGCAAAGAAAAGCACAAGCAACGCAAAGCAAAGCAAAAGCAAAAGCAAAGCAAAGGAAAGGCAAAGCAAAAGCAATGTGCGACAGATGCCGAGCTAGCCTCGATGGCCGGACCGGAGCCCCCGCAAGCAGTGCCTTCCGCTATGCTATGCTACGCTATGCTATGCTATGTTGCGCTGCATAGCATAGCGTAGCATAGCATAGCAAAGCATAGCAACTAATGTTGCTTTCCTAGGGGCTCCAACTTCTAGGTAGGGTCGCACTGGGGTAATTTGCTTAATCCGCCTTGAGCGGTTCAGCACTGCAATTTGAGGGGATCGGTGGGGAATCACGATTATGTTGTGTCGGGATGGGGGGATGGCGACCACCTTGCCTACGCCTGCAGATCTAATACTCTTTGCCCCCGCGGGCTCTCGGCTTTTTCCGTTTCTCTCCGCTCCTCTATTCGTTTATTTTTGCATTATTCCCTACCTAGGCTCTGCCTAGAAGGGTTCTTACTTTCTGGGCTTAAAGGGGCCGGGCAGTGGAAAGCGCCCCGGGCGGTTCCCCCAGTATCCGCCCCGCGGTTCCCCCAGTTACGTCCCCTTAGCTTAGCGTTGTTCATCTCATCTTAGTTTAGCTTATTTCATCTTAGCTTAGCTTAGTTTCATCTTAGTTCAGGTTTATCTTAGCTTAGCGTACCTTCATCTTAGCTTCGTTGAGCTTTAACATAGCAGAGCACGACATAGCATAGCATAGCGTAGCATAGCATGGCGCAGCATAGCATATCATAGTATAGCATAGCATAGCATAGCATAGCGCAGTTTAGCATAGCATGTCATAGTTTAACATAGCACAGCGCAGCATGACATAGCTTAGCATAGCATAGCATAGCACAGGGCAGCTTAGCATAGCATATCATAGCATAGCATAGCATAGCATAGCGCAGCATAGCATAGCGTAGCATAGCATAGCAAAGCATAGCAACTAATGCTGCTTTCCTATGGGGCTCCAACTTCTAGGTAGGGTCGCACTGGGGTAATGGTGGTCTTCTCGTTTTTGTGTGCCACCATGCGCCGCACGAACTCGACAGCTCCGTTGCGGAGGTCCGCCCGACGTCAAAGAAAACCAAGGAGCGAGGACGCGCGAGGAAGGCGCGAGGAGCGGGAGCCAGGAGGAGAGAGCACGAGGAGCGGGAAGCGGCGATGACGTCGCAAGGACGAGGACAGAGGGAGGAGCAGGGGGAGGCGCGGGGCTCGTTTTGATTCCTCCGATTGGATTCAGTTCAGCCTCGGTGGCTTTCGATTCCGATGCGATTGGACTTCGGATTCCGATTTGGGATCCGACTTCCCAATGGGGTCCTACTGGCCTGCCGGTGTCTGCCGATTCGACTTTTCCCGACTCGGCTCCCGATGTCCGTCGATCCGATTCGTGTCGACTTCCTATTCGACTTGTCGATTAGATTCTGGGCTCTCCTGGAAGCGCGGGGAGAGGAGGGGACGGCGGCCAGCGGCCGCGGAGCGCCAGCCAGCCCAGGACGACTATCAGTTGGGCGACCTGAGCACGGAGGCGGACGCACGTCTGAAGGCGGCCATTGCAAACTTGCGAGGACGGGGCTTCGGAGGAGGATCGAGGAGGTCAGCCACCCGCGGAGGGGGGGTAGGGGGAGGGGGGAAGGCTTCTGAGCAGCACCCCTGCTCCTTAGAAGGCGCGGGCCTTGTCTGTAGATGCAGGGCCGGCGCCTTCTAAAAAGCAGCCTCCGTCTAAGAAGTTTTCCACCCTGCCCCTATCCACTTGTGCGCGCCGCCAACAAGGGTGTCCGCGATTCGGACGGTTCGGCTGCGTCGCAGTCGGTTGCGTTCGGTCGCTTCGGTTCGGTCACTTGTGCCGCTGCTGCGTCGATACGCCCTTCTAGCCTGGTTGCGGTCTGTCCGTTTCGGTCGGTTTCAGTCTCGTTGTCAGTTCGGCTTGCTTTCGATTTTATTGTGACCGTGGACGGCGTCGAGAGTCTAGGTTTTTGGCCTTGTTGGCTCTCTTGTGGGCCTCCGGGAGCCTTGTCGTCGACACGGCTGGATTCCAAGCGAGATTCTATTTGAATTTTGCCCCAGGAGAGGTCTGGGGGAGATTTTAGACAGAAGTGGAGCGGGGAGGAAGAAGAGCAGGATCAGGCGGATGAGCAGGACGTCCTCTTCATCCTCCTCTTCCTCCTCCTCACTCACTCACTCACTCACTCACTCACTCACTCCTCCCTCCTCCTTCTCCTCATCCGCGCTGGCGCTGGTCGACCCCCAGACCATCTCGGTGTTGGTACAAGCTATTGGCGACCGCCTGCATCATGGGTCGTGGCGTCCGCTTCCTGGAAGTCGGAGTTGCGATAATCGTGGGGCGGCTATCCTGTCGTTGGCGCTGCAGGAACACATGAGGAAGCTGATCGAGACGTTCACGCCGCAGCTGCAGCTCGAGAGGAGGATGACGGCCTTCATCGAGCGCGATGCGGAGAAGTTCAAGAAGATGGGCTTTACAGCGAACGTCGCCGATTTGTCCCCCCATGCGCCTGGCCGAGCTGACAAACGATATCATGATCAGCATGAAGTTGGAGACATTCGAGATACTGGAGTCTCAGATCGCCAACAGCCAGCATATGCAGAAGAATGCTTCAAATGAATTCCAGCAACGGGTGCTAGTGGAGCTTTTGTCTACCGGTTCGTCTGCATCGCTTTCCCCGCCTGCGCCATCGCATACGCCTACAAGTACTAGTACACCAACGCCAGCTTCAGGAGATGCCAACCTCGGCAATACCATATCCGAGAAGGAGAAGACCAGATTGAAGCTCAATCCCCATCGAGTGCAGGATAAATGGGGTCTGCATCAAAGCCACCGCTCTGAACAGTAAATGTAGGGTAGTACCGTGCCACTCGGACGATTGCGTCGGCGTCCCTTTTGAAGGTCGCCGCAAATCGATTGAAGTCCGCCCCAACAAATTGTACCAGGTGCCATCGGCTACAAAGACCGCCTCAGCCTCGGCACCACCTCCCGCAAAGAGAACATACAATGTCATATTGGAGTAGTCCCGCGCCGCGGTCGGCTGCTGAAAGGGCCTGTTGAATTTACGTGCGCTCCTCCTCATCCTCCTCCTGATCCTCCTGATCCTCCTCCTCCTCCTCCGCCTCCTCCTCCTCCTCACTCAGCAGCGACATGTTCGGCCCGTTGTAGCCCAACTTGGGCATGTTCAAGCGACGTCCCTTGGGAACATCTTTTAAGGCACTCGGCTGCATGATGTCCGTCGGGGGGACATCCCACGCAGATGCAATTTTCAAACGGCACGTGTGTAGTTCTGCGGTCGCATCAAAGAAGAATTTCTGGAGATGCCCAGGGGTAGCCCGGAAGAAGAAATTACATTTATTGTCAGTCGTGGCCTCGGCGAGTTTCTGCTGGAGCGTCGGGGCGTGGACGGTAACCCAAAGGGAGCTCGCCGCCTTGCGGAAGACGGTTGCCAACCAAGCCAAGGAATCTCTCCGAGTTTGCAGGTATTTGGGCGATACAGATGAAGCCTACCACCGACGACGCAATCGGGTACTCAAGCGGGTCATGGAAGACGGCGGGTTGGCACATGTAGACGTCTACGTTTTAAAACGTATGTACGATTATGCCGGTCATCTGCAGCGGGCTCTGGCCGGAAATCCTCAACATTTGGTGGGCGTGGTTTTGCGTCATAGGGATGCCGAGTGGAAGGCCACCATGACGGCAGTTATTGGCCATCAAGGACATCGGGGCAGGGTTGCACCCTGGCACTGGGAGCGCCAATACGACAGCTATTTCGGAACCATCGGCCTCAAATGGGCGGAAGTGGCGCTAGACCGGGACGAGTGGTTATCCCACCGCAGAGATTGGATTGCACATATGTTGGGTGCAAGGGCAGATTCGACTTTGTTTGGTTCCTTGTAAATGTGCAGTGAAGCGGTATGAATGTTGGTGAGTTCTGTGAAGCTAGGCAGCGATGTTTTCCATTGTCGTTCTTTTTTCCTTTGTGCTTGCGATGCCAGCGGTAGGAGGGACACCCTCACAGACACCGCTTCCAGTCCAGTCCAGTATGCTGAGGAGTGGTGGAGGGCCTCGGAAGCACGGCATTCCAATGGCAAGGCCCTCGCCATGAAGGAGTTCTGATCTTGCCTCACGACGGCCTTTGGGAAATTTCGGGCGAGCGACCCGAGGCTGGGCCGTTTGGGGTGATGATATGGCTTTTGGCATGGACAGGCTAGACAGCGAAGCGTGCTACGTCGTTCCTTTGGCCCAGCGACGGGGAGGTGTCGATCCTGAGAGTTGGCCCCAAGCAGATTGCCAGCTGCTTCGTTGAGGACGTCCTGAGGGCCACGGAGGTGCGCGCGGATCTTTCCGTCATGAGCCGCGAAGGATCTCCGCATTGCGATTCTGAAACAATATGGTGGGAGACTGCCCAGACGATCATCAGCAGCAATCACCTCAACCCGTTGAGTCGGCATTTTGTTGCCTCCCTGATTTGTGGCATGTGCCTCACGGCTCCAGGACTAGGCAACGGCGGCACTTGTTCAGCGGAAAGCGCCCAGCGTGTGGGGGGGAAGACGCTTCGTTTGAGCATCGTAGTTGTTGATGCCCTCGTTTCGCGCTGGACCGCGAGGGCCTTGGGGATTTCTGGGATGAGCGGCGAAGGCTTGCCGCGCTTGCTGCGATCCGCTTTTACCACGCTGCCAGTTATCCCGCGTGCCAGCCGCCGCCACCTGGCCCCCGCATGCTGTGCAGCGTGCCTTTGTCGGCGACGATGAGCTGCCCGCGCATGCTTTCAGGTTCCTGCCGAGAGCGCCCATGGCAGGACATAGATCGGCGACCACGTGGCGTTTGGAGTCGTGGCGAAGGGGCGGGATAGGGGTCGTTCAGCGGGAGCCCGCTTGTTGGGGTCCTTCGGGTCCGAGTCAGCGCAGACGGCCATGATGGCCGAAAATTTGGCTTTCGGGGACGGGGCACGTCACAGCGATGGCTCCAGCGACTACATTGGAGATTGTGCCGCCGTGCCTGGTGGAGCCAGCACATGGACGACAGAGGCCAGGAAGCACCTGCCCCTCATTGCTGGTTTCTGACGGGGGCTGGCGCGACAGGACCAGGCGTTCAGCGGAACGTCCAAGCCAAAAGCCCATCTGGATGTGCCCGAGGCTCACAGCAGTGAGGTGGAGTGGCGGGATCGATGTGATGACCAGGCGGACCAAGCCACCAATCGCCCTTGAGCAGGCTCCTGCCCGTGTTGGACTGTATCTTTTGGCAGCTGCCCGAGCTCTCCCAAGAAATAGCGGAAGCATTTACGAAGGCCTCGTGCGTGGCCGTTGCCCCATCGTGGATATGTCCAGGTCGGACCGTCTCGGTGGCAGCGCAAGCGCTATTTGCGGCCCAAGTTGGTCCCCGCAAGTGAAGTGGACAGGAAAGACTGTCGTGAGGAGGGCGCTCGAGCTCGCTGCGACGCACGACACTGGGCGGCGTGTGCTCGCTCCGCGCCACGAGGCCGAAGTGGTAGACACGCTCGTGTTTTTGTCCAAGGCCTGCGCGCGATATGCAACCAGCAAGCCTCAAGGGCTGGCCCGCCCCGCCTTTCAGTGCACGGGCTGGAAAAGAGGCGAGCCTGCGCAGCACAAGCTGCGTCGAACTTAAAGGGCTTGCATCCCAAGCGCGGGAGGATTGAAAAGATCGTGGATCATTGGCCGCCCGCCGAGGCGTTCCGCGGGCCGGACGAGCCCCCTCGGCGGGCGTATAGCGGCTCGTGTACCGCTCTCTGACGCCATCTGTGCCCCAGCAAAGCGCAGAGGGACGGGGGGGCGGGAAGGCAGGTGGATTGGAGGGAGGGAGGGCAAACGAGCAGGGGATGGAGGAGGAGAGAGGCACACAGGCAGGCAGGCAGGCAGACGAAAGAACGGGAGAGGAGGGAAGGAGGGAGGGCGGTGTGGATGGTAGAGGGGGGAAGAGGGGAGAGAGGGGAGGGGAGGGGAGGGGGGTAGGTGCGGGGGTGGGGGCGGCTACAGTCGGGAGGGACGCAGCGCAAAGGGGCGAGCGAGGAGGGAGGCCTCGCTGCCTCACAAATGCCGCGCGCTGGTCCCTGCGTGGGACGCGCCAGAGATTCGAGGAGACGTTCGCATGGACCCGGTCGTGGATACCTTTTTTGATGCAGCGCCTTGGCCTGCCAATGCTGGTATGCTGCCGTGTCCGGCCTGGCGGCCAAGCGCGTGGATTTCCCTTGCTCGCATCCCCCCTCCCTCCGCGACATAGTCAGGGCAAGAGTACACGTCCAACCTGATCAGGCTGCGTGGACGACGGTCCAGCAGTCAGTGACGCGTGCGCTTGAGTACGATACCATTGAGACTTCCTCGAAGCTCACGCCGTGCGCCTGGCTAGCGAATGCTGCCCGACACTGAAGGAGCTCATGGTGGCCTCGCTGGACGACCTCTCGAGGGAGCAGGCCACGCTACCCGGTGCGGTCGGATGCCTCGCGCTAAGGTCGCTCACCGAGGGCCCGTGCAGCGAATCGCTGCACAGCTGGGACGACCGACGCACGGCAGCTCGGCCGATGCGCGCGCCGTTGGTGCTGCTGCCGAGGCGCTCTGCGCAGCGGGTTTCGAGGTGTAGCAGGCTGATCCCACTTTCACAGTCGATGTTCGGAGCCGCTACGACACAGTGCCGTGGGTTGGAGAGATGCCCGTCGCAGCAGCGTTCGCCTTCCCGCAGCCAGCGGCCCCACAGGCTGCCCCGAAGAGCCTCGCCCGGCTGCTGGCGCTAGCGGTGGAGCGGCGACTGCAGCACGGCGCCCTCGCCAGCACGGTGGGGCCATGCGCGGCGTGGATGCCTTGCGGGCGACGACGCCGCATGCGGCCATGCCGGAGCACCGCCAGACACAGTTTGCTCGCCTGTGGCGGCGAGGGATGCGAGGCCTTCTGGAGCACGGTGCCCGCCGGCTGCCGCGGCGGGCAGCCAGCTCGCAGTGGGCATCTGCCGCGCGCGTCTGGCTGGGCCCTTCTGCCCCGCCGCGGCGTGGCTGCGCGTTCTCGACTCGCGGGGTCGGCAATGGCGATTGTCGCGCAGTGCCACTCGACGAACACCTACCTCACGCTGGCATCTGCCCAAGAAGCCGCGCCGAACCCTTGCGCTGACATAACTCGGTGGTCGTCGTGCTGTGCCGCCACCTGCAGCAGACCGGCGCCAGTGTCGGCACGGAGATGTGTGTTTTTGAGCTCTACGTCGCGTCCGAAGAGCTGCGCAGATTCACGTGGATGATCGTGGATTTGGTCGTCCGTTGGCTTATTTTAAGCATCGAGCTCCTCATCGACGCCACGGTGCGGTCGCCTGTTGCAAGGGAGTTCATGCAGCCACACGTGCAGTTCCATGAGGCCGTCAGCGGTGGCGAGCGCGACAAGCTGACGCACCACGGCCCAGCCGCGGTGGTGTTCGCCCTCGAGCCCTCCGGCCGGTTGGGCGGGCGCGCGAGGCAGGCGCTGGCTGCCCTCCACCGGGAGAGCGCGGAGTTCGGGAAGCTGCGACGGGGCGCGGGCCTTGGACCTGCGGGCCGCGAGGGCGAAGATCGAGGCGGCGGCGGTCCGCGCGGCGGCGCGGGAGAGCCCCCGCCTGCCCTGGGCGCGAGCTCTGCCCAGGCGCGCGGCTGGGCGGCCGGACAGCGCCGCAGGGCGCTGCGGCCCGCGCGCGCTGGCCCAGCGAAGAGGGAGAGCGGCGGCGCGCCGCCTTGAAGGAAAGAGCGGCGCAGTATCCACTGACCGGCGGGACACTGTCGCGCTAGTTATGATCGAGGGCTGGAGGCAAGGATCGGATGAGGAGCGTGTCGCCCGCGCTCTCACCGTGTTCCGCGCCGCGACAAAGACAGCATGCACGCCAGTTGGCACGATCTTGTCCGAACGTATGCGGCGTTGGCGCGTTGACTTGGCAGATCTTACCACTTCCCTCCTTGGCTGACAATTCTCAAAAACTTTGTGCGCTGTCTTGAAGGTTCGGGTCGGTCCTTGCAGCCTCGTTGTCCTGGTGCGCTCTCCAGTACTGACCTGCCCGCGCGCCAGTGTCGTCGGAAGAGATGGGTGTACAAGGGCGGGGCATAACAGAGCAGGGGGAGGAAGACGAGGAGGAGCATGGGGGAGAGCAGGAGAAATCAGATGGAGGAGGAGAAAGAAGAGAAGAAAGAGAATCATGGCGAGGTTTGGGAGGGGGGCGCGTTTGCACCACAGGCAGGGAGCCATCCGAAAAGGGGTGCTTGGCCACCAAAGGGGCAGCACACAGTCGAATGGGGAGTGCAACACAACTCTGCTATAAGAAATGCTGCCTGTCAGGTGAGGACTCGGAGCTCTTGTCCGACACCCTACGGCAAGAGGGGAGGCACACCAGACGTCCCTTCGAAATCTGCGGGCTCGGGGCGCGGTCTCTTGCAGGGCGTGCGCTGGCATGTGCGCCCAGGCGCAGTTCCCTCCTCCAAGGCCTCCCTGCAGCGGCAATGAGTTGACTGCCAGTCCAGTTGGTTCAAAGGGTAAGACGGAGCGCAAGACCAAGCGGTGTGGGAGGGGGAAGTGTGAGTTGGACCAGGGTGGCGAAGGTGGTGGGGAACCCCTCCCAAGGAAAGGACGCCTACGAGGTGGGGGATCTCACTCTGGCACTCGACGAGATAGCCAAAGGTGAGGTAGTGAAGATTACTGGCAAGGAAGTTTCTCACCTTTCACAGTTCGCGTTTCATCCATGATCTTTCGACCGCCTTGCAGCTCTTACGTTGCACATTTTGCACGCAGAATACCCGATGTGCAAGCACCTCGTTCCGTGCAAAGTACTGTTTTGACGCATGGGTGCTGGGGTCGTAATGGTTTGATGCATCGTGTTTGCTCGTTGTACGCTGTCCGAGCAGACACGATAACGCATTATTGCAAAGATGCTCGTGATTACATCTGCGCGTGAACGGCCACTGGTGGAACCTGGATGCAATCTGTCAGGAGGACAGATCCAGTGATGATACTACTGGCACAGTGCGCCATGAGGCTCGCGGTCACAATTCAAAAGAGCGAGTTGACAAAGCACGTCGCAGGACACTTCGCAGTGCCAGAAACTCCCGAAGCGATAAATATATATTCGCACAAAAGGTCCTCATTGAATTCGTGGTTGTTTCGTTGAGCATTCTGGCTTCGCCCAATGTGTTGTATGTTTCTATGTCACACATGAAATGGTTGTGGTGTGCGTGCCTTGCATTGGTTGGTTGCCAAAAGTGCGCATTTATAGTACGAGTGTGCTTGCCCAAAGGACAAGTACGAATTTGGTGATTTGTCGATCGAGATTGACAAGAGGGTTAAAGGTGTCGTGGCTGATTATTGTGGAAAGGATGACGGCGTCCAAGATGTGGGCATGTTCAGCAGAGTGGAGCGGCCAATCCTAGCACAGCACATAATGACGGAAGCGAGAGTGAAAGAGACATTGTGCCGCTGAGGGTTCGCAGTGGGGTGCGAAGAAGGCATTGTGCACCGCAATGGTGACGCATGCACTGGAATTCGCTGACTGGGTATTCGAATCATTCGACGGTCGTTGTGCAAGCTTGGCATGTTAGAAGGGAGTTCAGATCTCAGCACATGTCGCAGATGGAGATAATTGCAGAGTAATTGACCTAGAGTCCATCAGCATGCAAAAGTCTATGATGGGTTCGGTTGCAGGCCTACGAAGCTTGATCATCTTGGCTGCGTGGACTGCCGCCCATTCGGGCATTGGAACGAATGGCTCCAATTCGGGTTCCCATGAGCACCCTTGACTTCAAAGCGTGCCAGCACCTATCGAAATCCTTGGTGCAACGAGACGCCCCAGGAAAGACGAGGCAGCAGACGGAGGAGCAAGCCACAGTGGAACAGCGGCGACCCTAACCCCAGTCCGTTGCGAGGGGCCCGCGGGGCCCCCATGATCGAGGCGGCAATACTGCGAAGGACGGAAGCCTCGCCAAAGATGAACTTTTCGTCGGCGGCGAGGCGGCGGCAATCCGCACCAGCGAACGAGCGAAGAAGGGCACTGCTAAGCTAATTGTCCGGCGTGCAAGAGCGGAAGGAGGACAAAGGGGCCGCGGGCGGAAGGGGAGGAGGAGGCGCTCAGAGGCGGAAGAATTCCACCATGAGCGGGCTTGGGCGGCAGCAGCGGCGCAGCGGCGGCGACCAGGGGACCTGGAAGCGCGCGCTGGGCGGGCCATGGCCAGAGGCACGTGGCAGGGCAAGGGGAAGCAGTATGAAATTACATGTAGTGGCTGTCCCTGGGCGCCTGCAGGCGCCCAGGGACGGCCACAAGCAAAATGCTGTCAACCATTGCTCGTCAAACCGTGCGATGCCAAACGCACTCGTGCAACTGCGAAGCCGGCGGCTCGGCAGGGCGTCCAGGGCGGCGCGAGGGGCAGCAGCTGGGCCAGGGGCGCGGCTGCGAGCGCCTCAGGGGGCGGGGCGGCGGCGGGGCAACAGGCGGCCAAGTGATGCACACAGGTGAAAGGAAGCTTCTTGCGCTTCGCCACAGAACAGCAATGAATGAAGAAGTAAAGAAGGAAAGAGAGAGGAGGAGGAGGAGGAGGAGGAGGAGGAGGAGGATGAGGAGGAGGAGGAGGAGGAGGAGGAGGAGGAGGACGATGGCAACTGAGCAGCCGATAGCAAAATATTGGAGGATGGGCACGCGAGGACGAGTATGAACCTGGTGACCTGACCAAGGCGGTCACCGCAAAGGTTGCTGCTGATGTAGCGGAGTTTACTGGCAGGGATAATTACCAGTTCGGCGACGTCTCCAAGGCGCCGGGACGGTAGCCACCAAGCCGCCGACAGTTGCGGAGTGTAATGGAGTAGTGGGGAAGGGAAGGGGAGATGAGGGTGGAGGGGGCGGGAAGAAGGGACATATGAAAGAGGAGGGTAGATAGAGGGGGAGGGGCAAGGTGGCGGAGAGATGAGGAGAAGGGGGGAGAAGGTGGAGAGGATAGAGAGCGAAACGGAGAGAGAGAGAGAGAGAGAACAAAAATAAATAATTTACGAAAAATGTGAGAGAGGGGGAGAGAGGGAGAGGGAGAGGGAGAGTAATAAAGAGGAGGCAGAGTGAGAGAGAGAGAGGGCGAGGTAGACAGAATCAAAAACGAAAATTATAGAGAAAGAGAGAGACATACAGAGAGACAGAGAAAGAGAGGGTGGTGGAACGAGAAGGGAGACGGGAGAGAATCGAGGGGTGAGAGAAGGGAGACGGGCAAGAAGGAGCAGGAAGGAGAGGAAGAAGGAGAGACAGGGGTGAGGAAAAGTGTTCAAACGTACCAGTTCGAAAGAGGGGCGATGAGGGGAGAGAAGAAGGGACGCAGAAATTAGGAATGATGCCGAGAATCCTTGCCCCGTGCTTCCGCCTACGAGACTTATCCTTCCTCCTGATCCTGATCCTCCGCCACCGTTCCACCAGCTGCACGAATGGGGGGCGGACCCTTTCCAAGATGGTGGCTCTCGCCTCAGCGCCACGCACGCTGGCCTTAACGTCAGCAGCGTCATGGACAAAGGGTTGCGACTTATCAAAATAAGGCATCGGATCCTGCAACTTCTACACGGACGGAGGTTGAATAATTTTAGAAATTGGTTAGGTTCAAGATTTCTTGAAAGCTTGCGTCGGGAGTCTGGGTCTTCCTCGTCCCCCAGGAAGGGGCGTGACAATGTCCACCGCTGGGACCAGGCTGGCTAGACTTCACGCATGATTCCCGCCAGGACTCGAGAGCCCAAAACCATTTGGAATTTGGCAGGCGAGTTTCCGCGCAGCCCAGGTTGTAAACGCAGGACGGGAGAGTTTGGTTCTTGAGTTGCAGGGGTAATTGGGACGTTCCGCTTCCGACGGGCACATCATCATCGATTTCACGCACAGCCTTCTATAATTTGTTATGCCGTCGAACATCGGGACGGCGGTCTCTAAGCATCGCAGCGTGCTTGTGCCAGAACGGCCACCCATGCCTGCAGCATTTGTGGGCGCCAGAAGGGGAACTTGTCGACCTTCTCACCTTCTCTTCCCAACGCAACACCGCCATTGTAGCACTGTTTGTATATACGCACCCCTGGGTAAATATGTGTAAATATGCACCTCTGCTTATGTATGGGCCTCGGCCGAAGCTATGGCCGATTGGGATCCCATCAGGGGATGCCGCGGTCGCCGTTGTTGGGGAACGCGCCGTCTTCGGCCAGATCCAGGGCCCCGTGGCCAAAAATCCTCCTGCTCCCCGCGTCCGCCCTTGCGATCAGCGCCCGCGTCGAGAGCTGACGCCCGCGCTACATGCATGTACAAATATATGTATATATAGCCAGATCTAAAGAATACAGATGAACATGCATGCAGGCATACATACATACATGCAGGCAGACAGAAACACTTACATACATGCATACATACATGCATGCATGCATACATACATACGCATACGGAAAATTTATACATTCAGCCAAGCAGCCATTCAAGCAGACATGCATACAGAACAGGACATCGAATAGCAGATCATGCCATAACATAGCATGGCATAGCATACCCTATACATATATATATATATATATGTATATGTGTGTGCATGCCTATATGTATGCATACAGACAGACATACGTGTATATATGCATGCATGAATACATGCATACATGCATGCATGTCTACATTTACAAATACATACATACACATGTACATATATACTTGCATACATACATACAACCATACATACATACGTGCATGCATACATACATACAGACATCCATACATGCATACATGCTGGCATACATACATACAGGCACACAGACCTACATACATGTGCGCACATATATATATATATATATATACACCATACAGAATATATATATATATATATATATATATATATATAGAAAACAAATACATACCATAAACCGTTTACGTACCCGATACCCGGCCCCGAGGGCCTCCTAGTGCCCCTTCCCCTCCAGGAGCCTCCCTGGAGCCTCCCCCAGGCTTCCCAGGCAGGCTCTTGGAGCTTAGCTGAAGTTCCAACGGGGCCCCAAGACGGGCTCAATAGGCCCTGGGCTCGCCCAGGATGCTCCTGGTTTTACAAAAGGGCCTGTCAAAACCCGAGCTGTGATGAGGGGTCCTCCGGACCCTCTGGGGAAAGTGTGAGGGCTAGCTTGTTCTCCTCTCGCGGGTTCCCCACCGCGAGTCTCCAAGCTAGCTAGTGCCCAAACGGCAGCGGAGTGAGGCAAGAAGCACTGAATCAACACTCCCACACCTTAAATGTTGCCTCAACTCCGACTTTGGGCTCAGCTTTGACTGAACCCCTTCACATTACACTGAACATTTCTTGAGCACGGCGCGCGGGAGGCGAAAGCCACTCAGATGTCGATCACCTACTGGAGCCGGTCCTCCGAGACTGCCGCCTTTGACGTGGGAGCTCCCACGCGGCTCGAACCCGCCGCTCTCGACGATGCGGGCATCCAGCTCCCCATGGACATATCATCACCGGCCACAGAGCTCTCCTCCACAGCCACGATCGGAGCCTGATCAAACACACCAGTCTGCTTCCACGACTCCGGATCATTTTCGTTCAACATCTCTGGCTGCAGACCACACTCCTCGACCAAGAACCGAAGGATCTTGTCGCGCCAGAGGGGAAAGTCTGCCATGTGCTCGCACACTGACACTCCGGCGTCGCCAATCCCGCTGTGGAACTCCGACTCCCTGGGCAGACGGAGCGTCCGAGACGGGCGGCAGCTGCGCTGCGTCCCGCCAGCTCCTGAGCTGGGAGGGCCGTCCTGGCTCTCCGAGTAGCCCGCCGAGAACTCGTCCCAGGCCGGGAGGCGGAAGGAGTTCACCACGATCGACCCTCCAGGCGGGGCCGGCGGCACCTGGTCGCTCCTCAGCGCCATGTGGTAGAGGCTCTCGAGCACCTTCAGGCGGTCGCGCATGCCATCCTCGAGCGAGGCCGGCGAGTGCAACGTGATGTGCCCCGTGCTGGCGTGGTACACTAGCGTGATCTGCGAGACGCTCTGTTTGCCCGACAAGCGGTCGTCCAGGATTCCCGTGCGGATCTGCACCTTGACCTTGTTGCTGGAGCCCTCTATGTTGCCCTCGCCAGCCTCCGCCAGGCCCTCCAAGAAACTTCTCACGCCACTCGCTGAGTTCTTCGCCTCGATCTTCACCATCTGCTCGTAAACTCTTCGCGGGCTGTGGGGCCGCGAACTGCTTCCTCAAGGCACGCTCCGCCGATGCTTGAGCCAAGACACTGCTCTCATCGGCGAGCTGGTAGGTCCCGTGGCGGACGCAGCTTCGGAGGAGATCGGCGGGCTCCGCCTTATCCTTCGTAAGACAATCCGCCAGCATCAGAGACGTAGGACCCCAACGCAACACAGCCCCAAGACGTGCCAGGCTCTCCTTACTCATTGCGATATCTACTGCACACCTCTTATCGTCAATCCCAGACGGGCTCCCCATCTTGCACACGTTGTCGCAGATACTCTTGCAGTCGATGACCGCCAGACTCTTAAACATACTCAGATACCGGGCCCGCTCTCCCAGAGTGAAGCCTCGAAAGAACCCCATAGCAAAGAAGCACATGACCCATTCCAAATGTCCGAGACCGTCGGTCATCACAGACGACTCCCCTGCCAGCGTAGACTTGACCACCCGCTTCACCCGATAACTCCTCCAGATCAAAGGGCTCCACGGGGAAACCCTGCCTAGCTCCATGTCCCTGTTAGTCACCCCGATGATGTAGCCCCCCTGCGCGTGGCCCACGTTGGACATTTCTTTCGACGAGTAGTCTGAGTGGAGGATGAAGGTAAGCTCGGCGATCGGGATCGAGGGGTATCGGATCTCGAGGTCAGCAAACTGCTGAGCACGACGAGCCAACATATTTCCTTTCCTGATATCACCGACGGTGGGGTGGTGCATCTTCTGTTGGTTCGAGCTCACGAGGATGCTGAGGTCTAGACGGGTCTCAGTCGCCAGCCAGTTCCCCCGCTGGTTGAGAGAGATGAAATCTTTTATGTCTGACGGGACCGCCAGAGCATCAGCACTTGCATGTCGGCGGGTCGACACCCGCTCCATCTCCTCAGACGCGCACTGGCACTGCGTCTGCACGATGGTGTCGTCGGGGAGCTGCCGCAGCCGGGACCCGACGAACTCGGCCTCCTTCTCGTGCCACTTGCGGTAGGGAAAGCGGCGCCTCAGCTGTGACACTGCCTCGGCCCACTTGGATCCACGGCCTCCGAACACGCCGTCATCCACGTGCTGGCCGATGACCCCGCACAGGTCGCCAGGCCGGGCCACTCGAACAGGCTCTGCTCCCTGGCCGCCGATGACGCGGTAGTCGTCGAGGTCGATCTCCACGGACTCGCCGACGCCCTCAAACAGCAGCAGCACACACGGGTCCATGGGATGCTGCTCGAAGCCCAGCTCCTCGATCAGGAACTTGCTGAAGGTCAGCCACCACAGCTGAGGCTGGTCGCTCCTGCCGTAGCCATTGATGACCTCGCAGAGCTGATCCCCGTGCATCCCGTCCAGCAGGAACTCCGACGGCAACGAAACGTAGATCGCGCCGTGCTCTGCCGGCGCCAGCGACGCATCCGCCTCGAGGAAGGCCCCCTCCACGTCCCCGATGGCCAGGGGAAGTTTGGCCGAGGCGATGGTCTGGAGAACGAACGCCCTCTCGTTTGAGGACAGCGTCGGGGCCTGAGCGCGGCCCGCCTTCAGCAACTCCAGGAGATCGGGGTCCTTGAACCCCTGGATAGTCATCCTACACTTGGCTACCACGCCCCCCTCCTCGTCCTCCTTCTCCGTC